GTATGTCCCATGGTTGATTTCTTTTTTTTCATTTGTGAAAATGTAAACACAGGCTTGGGCACTTTCACCATGTTACCATTGCTGTACTATTTACCTTTTTTACTTGAATACAAGCTGTGAGTTTCAATGCTCATCTGGTCTCCTTGGCTAGGATGGCATTTATGCTACTTAGGAATGGTTGACATTTACATCTTAGCAGTAACTGTTGGAACACATCCAGGTTAATCTTGGATAATTGGTTTAAATCCAATTCTTTTTGTTTTTCCCTGAGAGGAATGATAAGAAACTATTAACAGTGATTGCTTTTGGGTGAAAGAGACATGGCAGGAGAGGAGGCAGTCTCTAAGATGGCCCCCAAAGACCCCCACCTCCTAGTGTTCACCTTATTGTGCAATCCCCTCCTCTTCAGTGTAGACTGGACTTACTAGCTTGCCTCTAACGAACAGAATTCAGCAGAAGCGATGGATGTCACTTCCAAGATGAGGTTTTAGAAAGACTGTGACTTCCACCTTGAGTGGTTTTTTTTCTTGCCTTTTCTCTCACACGGTCACTCAGAGGGCCTCTGGTTTCCAAATTGTGAGCTGTCCTATGCAAGACCCCCGTGGCAAGGAACCGGGGGAGGCCTGCGGGAAACCACCTATGAACAAGTCAGGCCCTCAATCCACTGCCTGTGATGGACTAAATTCTGCCAAAAACCAAATGAGCGAGCTTGAAAGAAGACTTTCCCTTTGTCAAGCGTTTAGATGAGACTGAAGCTCCAGTCAACAGCTTGACTGCAACCTCTGAGAGACCTCATGCCAGAGACAACCAACTAAGCAGCAGCTAGACTTCTGACCCCGAGAACTGTGACATGATGAGTGCTTTGTTATATTAAACTGCGAAATTTGGGGATAATTTATTGCACAGCAATAGATAACTAATAGATAGGGTAATCTGGCATATCTTAAATGTATGTGGTTGATGTCTCATGCCTCCCTAAAATGTATAAAACCAAGCTCCACCTCAACCACCATGGGCACACGTTCTCAGAATCTCCTGAGGGTTGTGTCACAGGCCATAGTTACTCATATTTGGCTCAGAATAAACCTCTTCAAATATTTTACAGAGTTTGACACTTTTCATCGACAAAGTAACACTCTTTGGCAAGATTCCCCTGACATATTTTGCCCATCTGTTTATTTAAAATTTCGATTGCACTTGCTTTAGGAGTATCTCTTGTCAACACTAATAATTATAGATGCACTGTTTTAACTGTATCTCATATAGACCTGAACTCATTGGGTTTAATTTTGAGATTCAATACATGAGTAAATGCCATTTGTAGGTATTATTACCAGAGACAGTTTCACTCTCATTTTGTTTAAGTGTGCTTTCTTAGTTTGTATCTTTGCTACATGGCCTGTATTTTTTTTTTTTTTAGGTAATTTCACTCTTCTCCCTGTGGTAATTTGAAAATTATTAAGACTGATCTTCTTTCAATTTTAAGTAACATACTTAAAAGTGAACATTCCAAGTCATCTTCATTCAACCTCATAAAGCAAAACAAAATCTACTTACTTCTCCCTGTGGAAGATGAGGGCACTCACCCCCTTAGACTTCCTTCTATAAGCTTCAAGATTGTGTCAGAACATATTAGGATTTTTATTTGTCTATTGTTGTTATTTTTAACATTATGTAGCTTTTCTATAAATAGGTATAATATCTACATTCTGTACTATGAACATTATTTTTCTATTTTTAAATAATTTACGGTTTACTCTCGGTCAGTGGTGGCCACCTAATTTTTTTTTTTTTTTTTTTTTTTTTTTTTTTTTTTTTTTTTGAGATGGAGTCTCGCTCTGTCCACCCAGGCTGGAGTGCAGTGGCGTGATATCCGCTCACTGCAAGCTCCGCCTCCCGTGCTCACGCCATTCTCCTGCCTCAGCCTCCCGAGTAGCTGGGACTATAGGCACCCACCACCACACCTGACTAATTTTTTTTGTATTAAATAGAGACGGGGTTTCACCGTGTTAACCAGGATGTTCTCGATCTCCTGACCTCGTGATCCGCCTGCCTCGGCCTCCCAAAGTGCTGGGATTCCAGGCGTCAGCCACCGCGCCCGGCCGGCCACCTAATTTTTAAGGCCCAGTTCAAAATGAAAATGATGCTGAACGCTTGCCATGGTCTTGGATTCCCCGTGTCTGCCAGGTCGTTGCTGGGAATCCACAGTCCCGGCAATTCTGAACTGCCTGAGAACTGCCCCAGTAGGAGGGAAACCATTTCTCCAGGGTGAGATTTGTAAGCTGTCAGGTCTGGTTGGGGGTGGCTGGATAGGGAGTGGGGACTAACTAATAGAAAAGGGTAATAAAAAGCAGCTTTTACCTTTTATTTTACACCTGCTCTACTGTATATTTCTCATTTTATGTATGTACAATATTTACTTTTAAAAATACTGTCAAGAGGTGTTATTTAGGCCAGTAGATTATGGAAAATCCTGCAAATTGGCTTACTCAGTGCAAACTCCAACAGCTTCTATTGCTTTCCCATACTACAGAAGCTAGCAAACTTAAAAAACAAAACAAAACAAACAAACAAACAAAAAAAAAAAAAAAAAAAAAAAAAAAAAACACCCTGCATTTCCTAGACTCTCTTGAAACTGAGAACCCATATGTGACCTAGTTTTCATCAAGCAAACACACTGCTTAGGTAAAACTCAGAAAAATATTAGCACTTGGGATGATGGGATGTTCTAGCCAATCTGTGGGTAGAAATACTCTGCAGTAACTGTAGTGGAGGTTCTATGGTCTAGGTATAAATTAGACTCTAGTCCTCAAATCAAAAGTGTGAAGGGATAGTGTGAAGTGGCCATGGAGTTTCCATAAGAGCAGTTCCATAGAACTGCATTCTATGTGGTGCCATTGTTCCTGTTTGGGCAACATCCAAGATGAGAACTTAACTCACTTAACACTTCTCCCTCCTGCTTTTCTCCTCCTTCCCAAATTTTATTTTATTTATTTTTTTGAGACAGAGTCTCACTCTGTTGCCTAGGCGGGAGGGCAGTGGCACGATCTCAGCTCAGCAACCTCCACCTCCTGGGTCCAAGCGATTCCCCTGCCTCAGCCTCCTGAGTAGCTGGGATTACAGGTGCACGCCATCATGCCTGGCTAATTTTTGTATTTTTAGTAAAGACAGGGTTTCATCATGTTGGCCAGGCTGGTCTCCAACTCCTGACCTCATGATCTGCCCACCTCAGCCTCCCAAAGTGCTGGGGTTACAGGCGTGAGCCACTGTACCTGGCCCCCAAATTTTTAAGTTAAATAATTAATTAGCACTAATTATTTAAAATGTTAAGTTAAATTTCTTTTGGTGGCTTCAAAACTGACAGTATAATGGTTTACTATTTTTGCTCAACTATCTTTATCTTAACTTTCCTTAACTTCCCTGTAAAACTCTACCCTTTCCTCCAACTTTCTTCAGACTTGCTTCCACTAAGACTTTTGAGAGTGAAAGAAGGCACTATTTTGTAATTACACGGGGATAAGAGGCATAATCAAATCTTATATGTTCATGCCACATAAGTAGAATCATATTCCTGTCCGTTTTCTCCACCTGTCTGAAAATATATGCTTACGATCTTTTATTAATCAAAATGTAAGATCAATAAGTTCAAATATACAGAAAAATATAGAAGTATGCAAACATGTTGGCATATTTAGATTCACCATATAAGTGAGATCATGTGGTATTTGTCTTTCTGTGCCTGGCTTATTTCACTTAACATAATGTCCTTCAAGTTCCTCCATGTTGCTGTAAATGACGAGATTTCTTTCTTTCTTAAGGCCGAATTGTATTCCATTAAGTAAATATACCACATTTTCTAAATCCAAAAAAGTCAAACTCATAGAATTAGAGATTAGAATGGTGATTACCAGGGGTTAGGGGTAGGAATTGGGGCGATGTTGGCTAAAGGATACAAAATTTCAGTTGGAGGAATAAGTTCAAGAGAGCTGTCAAGATTAACTGTAGTGACTACAGTTAATAACAATGTATTGTATTCTTGAAAATCCCTAAGAGAATAGATTTTAAGTCCTCTCACCACAAAATAAGTATGTGAGATACTCGATTTAACCATTCTACCATATATACATATTTCAAAACATCACATTGTACACAATAAATATATGCAATTTATTATTAATTTTAAAAACAAATGGTTCAATATGCTAATATTAGTCACTTCCATATGGTGAGATAATGGGCAATTTTTATTTCCTTCTTCCGCATTTTTTTATGCTTCCTAATTTTTGCCATTATCCATGAATTATGGACGGGGGGTTAAAGTAATATTTACTCTTCTAGGCAGCGGATATTTAGGACATTAAATCCAGGAACTGACTCCATTGCTGAAATGCTACTTGTGGCGATCATCTTCTCCCAAGCTCCACATTTTAGCTTTGTACAGAGTGATGTCATTGTAGACCCTGAAGTGGTTCATCCTACGGTCACTGCGTTCTGGGTCGACCAAGGGCTCTGAGTCCCACCCAATTTCCTGGTTTTCAGTTTGTGCCTCCGGGTACTTCTTCCTTGGCCCCTGGGCAGCATGGTGAATGAGATTCAGAAACCTGGCGTCTGCGGGTTCCTCCAGGTTATCATGCCAAGACATGGGCTTCCTCGTAATCCTGTGAACCTTGCGCAGGGGATTCACGTGGTACTGAGTGTAGAGTTTCTGGGTTCGTAACTCTTTGAGGTACAGCTCCCGCAAGATCTGGTTCTGATGAACCTCATCTGTGACCACCCTCTCTTTCGGGTGTCCCGCCATGGCCTTGGAGCTGCTCGGTGGGTCCGGCGCTCTCTTGGCGTCCTCTTACCACTCGCTCGGCCGCAGGCCTCCTGCAGTCTCTAGGCAACGGCGCCCCACTCCACCTCCAGGCAACAGCGTTCGTATGATACCACTCTGGCCTCTCGGAATCCAGCCTCTTTACTAGAACTGCCTCTCGATACTGCCAGGAAAAAGGCTTGCCATCAACTGGCAAACCCAGGAGATAATGAACATAAAACTGGACCTCACGTTGGCCAATCACCTCCCTCCTTGAGAACAGATTCGATGCCTTTCAATCCCCTACCTTCTCTGCTCCTGGTTCTACAGTTTGCTCTGTGGTTACAGACCAAGTTCCACGGAGAAGCCAGTTCAAATGCAGACGCTTGTGCAGTCTGCCTGCCCAGGCAGGAGAGGAAAGGCGCAGGCCAGGCTGAATATTCGCTTGCCATGGTCTTGGATTCCCCGTGTCTGCCAGGTCGTTGCTGGGAATCCACAGTCCTGGCAATTCTGAACCTCCTGAGAACTGCCCCAGTATGAGGGAAATCATTTCTCCAGGGTGAGATTTGTAAGTCGTCAGGTCTGGTTGGGGGTGGCTGGATAGGGAGTGGGGACTAGAGTACAGGAAACTAGCAGGAAGGGCTATGAGGAGGGCGAGGGGGGAAGATAGGAGGGCACTGGGAAAGGGGTGCCTGACGAACAGGGGGGCGGCACACAGACGCTCTGGTAGTAACAGAGGAAGAGCTGGGCAGAAAGTTCCTTGAGGTAGGGTACTGGGAAGGGGAGACATCAGTCAGCTTGGGCAAACGGGTAGGGCAGAAAATCGAACAAGATGGACGGCTCTGGAGAGGAGGCTGAGGGCAGGAAGTTTGAGGAGTAACGGGGGGAAGGAGGGCTGGAAGACGAGAGCGGGAAGGAACAGAAAGAAATGGAGCCTGGGGTTGAGGCCGAGAGATTGGAGGTAGCTTTCTAGTCATTTTTCCAAATAAGCGCTGTAGTAACTCACTTGTCCAAACGAATCAAAATGAGTAACTGAGATGTGCTGAGACCGATTCCAGCTTTTATCCCCTCAGAACATTCCATCACAGAATGCCTATTATGAAATGTACATGTATCTCCTTAGGACATTTCATCACAGAACTCTATTATGAAATGTACATACTCCCCTTTGTTCCAGTGAGGAAGCCCCACCAACCAGAGAAAAGATCTCAGTTTCTTGGTTTAAGAGTGATCAAGGGGGCCGGGCGCGGTGGCTCAAGCCTGTAATCCCAGCACTTTGGGAGGCTGAGACGGGCGGATCACTAGGTCAGGAGATCGAGACTATCCTGGCTAACACGGTGAAACCCCGTCTCTACTAAAAAATACAAAAAACTAGCCGGGCGAGGTGGCGGGCGCCTGTAGTCCCAGCTACTCGGGAGGCTGAGGCAGGAGAATGGCGTAAACCCGGGAGGCGGAGCTTGCAGTGAGCTGAGATCCCGCCACTGCACTCCACCCTGGGCGACAGAGTGAGACTCCGTCTCAAAAAAAAAAAAAGAGTGATCAAGGGAAATAGCAAAGAAAAGAAATGGGGCTGTAATATTGGTCCCTGTTCTTGGGATACCATGTAGTTTTGCCTCTCCACAGACAAAGATTGATCAAGGGGCTAACAGAGGTAGGGGCTTGGAGCCTAGGAGAGCAGTTCTGAAGCAGGAATTGGGAAAACGGGAAGTCAGTATCTTACTCTCTTTCCCTTACTACATTGTTCAAAGCCCTTTCACATTATCTACCTCACTACATGAATATGCATGATTAGAGATGTTATGTTCATTTTACCAGTGAGGACACTAAAGACCAGAGAGGGAAGGACTATAGGCAGGCAGTGGGTGGGTAAGCAGGCGGGACAAGAACTTGGACCAAAAAGAGGGGGCAGGTGGGAGAGGCCACAAAATGGCACAAAGCGCTGACCAGCACCATTGCCTCCTCCGGTGTCTCTGGACAGGATCTTGTAGGGGATGTCTGGAGAAGAGCTGTAGTTTTTGCAGCTTACCTCTTGGTCCCTGTGCTCCCTTGGTTTGATGACTTAATCTTCACTGGAACCAGACACACAGGGTCCAAGCTGGCAGGATGACTGCCCACTCCTGAGCACCTAGTGACTAGATTTGGACTTCCTTGCTCACTACCTGAGATGCCTAACTCCATCAGATGATGAAGGGAGCTGCTGCACCCTCCCCTCTTTTTTGTCTGAAGTAGCAACCCTCTCTGCTGAACATTCCGGGTTTCTTTGAATGCCATTCGAATCATAAGCTCCTTTGGTCCCCTATTCTCTCCCGTGCTTGTATCACCATAAGATTCTGAATTTTCTCCCTTGGCCCAACACCCTTTTCCTCCCATGCTGCATAAAACTTCCAGTTATGCTTTGGAAGTCCAGCTACATGATTAGCAAACTTCCCTTTTTCCATAGACTGCTTCTTTATTGACAGTTCATTGCCTTTCCTTGCTTTAATTGTAACTTGGATTTCTCTTAAGGACATTGCTTTTTATCTCAAGTAGAAACTACTTATTCTCTCAAACTCTAAAGTACTTCAGAGTAAGAATGTGGTTTATAGAGTCTCCTCGCTCCTTCTGACTCCTTGAAAACCGCACTGCATTATTCCTCTCTTCATACTGGAAAATCTCTTCTCCTTATGAGTTATCTTTAAACTAGGAAAGAAAACTTATTGGGAAATAAAAAAGTAACACCTTCCTTATAATCACCTAAATGAACAAAAATGTTAATTCGTAGTTCAGAAAACTTTGTCTATTCAGAAAACAAGTATGTTCTCTATTTTCACTGTGTTTTAGTCTGTTCTCATGCTGCTAATAAAGACATACCTGAGACTGCATAATTTACAAAGAAAAAGAGGTTTAATAAACTCACAGTTCCATGTGGCTGGGGAGGCCTCAAAATCATGGCAGAAGGCAAAGAAGGAGGAAAGGCACATTTTACATGGTGGCAGGCAAGACAGCATGTGCAGGGGAACTCCCCTTTATAAAACCATCAGATCTCATGAGACTTACTATCATGAGAACAGCAAAGGAAACTTTGATTCCATTACCTCCCACCAGGTCCCTCCCATGACATGTAGGAATTGTGGGAGCCACAATTTAAGATGAGATTTGGGTGGGAACACAGCCAAACCATATCACACTGATTGTAAACAACAGCCAATAGATTGTTTACTTTGGAACAGGTGAAGGAAGAGTCAACATATAGTTCCATAGAACATGTTGCAGGCAGTGAGGGAAGAGAAAGCATGGGAATTTTTGAAGATCTTTCTAAGTTCCCTTCAATTTGGAGAATAGCACTTAAGAATCTGGGAAAGCCAAGAAAAGAAAGGAGCTCAGTTCCTCACCACAGAATGACACTGGTAGTAGAATCAAGAAATAGCAGGTGCCTACATGGACTTTCCATTATGGAGACCCAGGTCCTGCAAGCAGCCTGACCCATGGCTGGCTGAGTTACTTTCCACTAAGTGGACCACAGATTTGAAAGAAATGTATGTGAGGACAAAGTTACCAGAGTGCCTAGTTTTCTTGCCAATCCATCAATTATCTGGAGAACTGGGCTCATCAGGGATTCTCCCAAGGTGCATGAAACCTGGGAGAACCAGCATGCACAAGGGAGCCACAGTAGAGGCCAACATGTGGATACTTTGGTGGTTCTGCCTCAAATAGAGGAGAGAACAAATGAAACAGAAACAAACATATTCTTAAAAATATTTTAGAAGAAATTTTCTCTAAAATGAAGGAAGGTAGCGATCATCTGATCAAGAAGAAAATTTACAATGGCTGGCTAATGTCACAACATTCTGGAAAATTTGCTGAACTACCAGGTTAAAGATAACCTTATGAATACTCCTGTCACCTATTAAACTTAAAAACTGAGACTGAACTCACACATCTTCTAAGTAGCATTAAATGCTAGCAGATAATGGAGCGAGTTTCAGAGGAATGCTACTCGCATGTGGTCTGTAGGCTGGCAGCTTTAGCATCACCTGGGATCTTGTTAGAATGCCAAATCTTGGACCACTATCTCAGACATACTAATTTCAATTCTCTGGAGGTGGAACTCAGAAATCAGTGTCTTGATATGCCCTCCAGGTGATTCAGATGCATGGCTAACATACGAGAGGCACTGCTCCAAACTTTAGTAAAATAAACACATGCAACTCATGAATTTTACATCATGCTAGACTGTCATTTGCATATGAAGGTAACAGACAGCCATCTCTTCTTTGTATAAAATCAAGAAGTATATTTCTCATGAGTATTTGAAACAGGAGGAACTGAATAAAGGAATTCAGTTTCACTGTTGATGTAAGAGCTAAGATAACAAATAACATTAAGATACTTCAAGATTAGCCCAATAGCCAGTCCCTGGGCTGACTGGACAAAGGAGTCAGGCCAGGGGTCAGAGTTGCCTGAAGGAATCTGGAATCCTAGCAGGCCTGTCCAGTGGGGATGGAGATAGTGCTTTAGACAGTGAGGAGCTGGTTCCTGAGATGCTGACTGAGATGAACCGGGAGAAAAAGATTCTGCTTCACCTTCCTCCATCCTTCCAATTTATTGACAGACATTCCTGTGGGCCAAATCTAGCTGAAAAACCAGCTGAGTCAAGAACCTATGGCTCAAGGCACAGCAGGGGAAGGGGAAGGAAGGACTCTGAGGGCCAGCAGGGCAGGGACTGGTGCAAAGTCTATACCCAGTCTACCAAATGAGAAATCAAACTAAGTGACAAATAGGGAAGGGCATGAAAAGACTGGCAGCAGGGCGGTCTTCCTAGGCTTAGGATGCGGTTGTAGAGGGCATTGTGCTGAAACAGGCCTCATGTGACTTAATGCTCAGCTGTTGTCATCTGAAAATTCTTAATAATGTTTGAACAAAGGCTCTACATTTTCATTTTGAAATGGGCCTTAAAAATTAGGTGGCTGGCCACGCGCAGTGGCTGACGCCTGTAATCCCAATACTTTGGGAGGCTGAGGCAGGCGGATCACGAGGTCAGAGATCGAGAATATCCTGGCTAACACGATGAAACCCCATCTCTACTAAAAAATACAAAAACTTAGCCAGGTGTGGTGGTGGGCGCCTGTAGTCCCAGCTACTTGGGAGGCTGAGGCAGGAGAATGCATGAACCTAGGAAGTGGAGCTTGCAGTGAGTGGATATTGCGCCACTGCATTCTAGCCTGGGTGACAGAGCAAGACTCTGTCTCAAAAAACAAAACAAAACAAAACAGAAAATAGGTGGCTACCCCTGACTGAGAGTAAGCAGTAAATTATGTAAATTATTTAAAAATAGAAAATAGAAAAATAAAAATAGAAAATAGAAAATAAAAATAGAAAAATCATGTTCATAGTACAGAATGTAGATGTTATACCTATTTATAGAAAAGCTACATAATGTTAAAAATAACAACAATAGACAAATAAAAATCCTAATATGTTCTGACACAATCTTGAAGCTTATAGAAGGAAGTCTAAGGGGGTGAGTGCCCTCATCTTCCACAGGGAGAAGTAAGTAGATTTTGTTTTGCTTTATGAGGTTGAATGAAGATGACTTGCAATGTTCACTTTTAAGTATGCTACTTAAAGTTGAAAGAAGATCAGTCTTAATAATTTTCAAATTACCACAGAGAGAAGAGTGAAATTACCTAAAAAAAAAATACAGGCCATGTAGCAAAGATACAAACTAAGAAAGCACACTTAAACAAAATGAGAGTGAAACTGTCTCCGGTAATAGTACCTACAAATGGCATTTACTCATGTATTGAATCACAAAATTAAA